GTCCAAAAATTTGGCCGCAGCTAATTTGTCGTGGGAAAAACTTCGGAGGTGGTTTTTTAGGCACTTTCAAGGTCTGGGAATCTGAATATGAACTCAGATTTGCTCGAAAAAAAGCTGTTCATTGGCAATTAATTAATTACTAATTTGTTGGCTTTGATTGTCCGGCACTGTACATGTCCAGAATTACAAATGGGGATACAAGGAAACCAGACGGAACACATTCTGCTCTTGCCAAGAGACCAGCGGGCCAATGGTATATTTGGTATTCTCTCCTGTGGGTATTTCCACTGTCTCCCAGGGGTATATCATGCGGTCCCCATAGTGAACCGGGTATGGCATACTTTTTACTAAGCCCCGCCGGTGATGCTTCCTAAATAGGATGTTTGTTTCATCACCCTACTGAACTCTCGAGTTCCAGCAGAAGCTCTATCCAGGTCCTGCAGCAGGGAAGTATCTTCTTCTTCCCGTCTAGCAGGAACCCACAACTAGTCCCATGGGAGTAACTTTCACTCCCGTATCTGAGTCCTCAACCAGCAGGGAAAGCATAAGACAAGCCCATCTGATCGCAAATCTCGCCCGCCAATCCCATATGTTCCCCGGGGCTACTCGGCTGCTCTGGCTTGTACAATACAAGCTCTTAATCATGATCAGAGTTCCGCGGTGGCAATCTGATGCCTCAGCGGGGGAAGAACCTGCCAGCGGGGCGATCTTCTGACCAGCCGCTGTTGTAGTGTCTCGCCCTGGTGAACCGGTTTGATATTATGCCAAAGTAAAAAATCTAGTCTAAGCTCCAGTGGGTGAACCGATTTAGCAGCTGAACTCCTCCAGTGGCTGAACTCTAAAATATTGTTTGTATGATAGTCCCGTACTCCGCCTGTCCAGCGGCCAGTCCTGAGATAAATGTAGTTCCTCTTGATCACCTCTAGCGCCCAAGGACTCAGCTATCAACTGACCCCCGGGGCCCAGCAGTATGGTTGACTAATAGAACATAACTGTTGAATCTTCAACTCATGCGCCCGTTGGCTTTCGGCTGTCAAAGGTGCAGCATACCACTCCGAGGTAGGTGTACGCCTCGTTGCTAAACCTCACATTTTCCCCAGTGATAGGTATTAAAATGAATAAAAATTCGGGTTTTTATGCGTACTCCGGTACGCGCCTTATCAACAGACTATTTTTGCAGCAGGAACAGACAAGAGGGGAGGGCATGGCAGCGCTGTTCATGGGACTGATCGCAGCACATGGGATCTCACGCTTAGCAACGTTGCTGCCCATCTTCAATGACAATGACGGGAAGATTGATGGGAGGTGTGCGTGCACGCACCATTGCAGATGAATAGCAATAATTATTGTTAATTACTGCTATTAGCTATGCAAATAAATGCTAATTACTGCGCTTTTATAGCACCCGCCCTAATCTCCCTCAAACCCCTCTACTTAGCGGGGGACACCCTAGCGAACTCTGCTGCTAACTAGGATGGTTTCTTGGACTATATAGGTGCAACGGAGCCAGAGAGGATCTTGACCATTGCCAATTTGGGCAACTGTTGCAGAAAAGGAAGGCCCTCACTGGAAGTGAATTCAGGCAATTTACGAATATAAAACAGTTGCCAGGAGACATAAAATAGGCCACAGAACCTGCAGAGATTTTTCTGGGGGGAATTTCGGATTTTTCTCTGAATGTCATGCCAACCTCTTGGCGACAGGGCCTCCATGACCATGATGGCTCTTGAATGGTGGCAACGTGGTGGGCCTGCTGTGACTGTGACCATTGCCTTCCTACAGGCCGGTACAGTATAGGCTTTGACAGAGGTTACATGAGAAGTTATAGTTGGAAAATATTCATGAGCATCAATGATATTTTGAGTTAAATTCGTGGACTTTAGTAATGCTATAGGGAAAATGTGTGCAACACATGCATCTAACACCTAAATCTCATCTAAATCTCACTGGATGGAAGAAAGTGCCCATGTATTTAACAACTCTGATGCTATACATAACCCAAAAGTGACTCAAACTGGAGGTTCAGACACTTTTCAGCGGGATTTTGATTCTCCGAGGGTACAATTGGCAGCCTTGTACCCATCATGGCCAAATCTCAGACCAAATTTCGATAAAAACTGCCAAAAGTAAGCATAAATTATGGGTTTTCAACCTTGGAAAAGGTATGGATTATGGAGTATTAGAGAGTTATGGGTTTTTTTAAGCTTTTTCAGTGAGAACAACCTTGGTGGAAGCTAAAATTTGTGGGTGGGTTATGACAGATATGAGTTAAGACAGAGTCAACTGTAGCTTAAACGGTGGAAGTGTGCACCCAGCATGTACATTCCTCAGACAACCAAATTGCCCTGTACAAGCCCTCGTGTTTCCATTCAGTGGATTTGGGTGTTGTCTAACATTGCAAAGAGCTACATTCCACTCACTCATGTATTGTGATTAAAAATACATCTTATCAATATGTTGTGAGCCGTGCCGTCACTTTGCAATGGCTCAGAAACAGGCAACAAACACTCTAAATTTTAATACGTGGCAAGCGGAGGAACAAACAAATAAACCATACAAGTACCGAGCGGAAATTTTGGCAACACAAGGAGCGGAAACCTTGGAGCAGAGAAATAGATGAAAAGGAAAAAAGTGCGAAGGATGAAATGAAATGAAAAGTTAAGGAGCAGGAAAAAGATCTGTCAAGGAATCTACGCCCTTGACCCTTGACCCAGTTGGAACGAGCAGTCATCTGAAAACGTGCACGGATTCATCCTCCTTTTATACTATTCTGCTTTGGTACCGGTTTTCCCTCCTCGCTCCTGCTTGTTGATTCACCTGCTGCCTTTCCCCACTTGTACCACTGACTTATTTCCCCTTTTTCTCTTCTCTGCTTCCTCCCCTCCCCCCCCTCCCCCCGAGTCACCTCACCCACGTTCCTCTGCTTCAAGTCATATTATGTTCTCCGCTCCGGTTCTTCCTCCTTGCTCTTGCTCTTGATTTGCTTACTGCCTTTCCCTGCTTGTACTACTAACTTAATTCCCTTTCTTTCTCTGCTCTCTCCCTCAAGTCACTTTGCCCATGTTCCTCTGCTCGATTCATGTTGTGTTCTTTGTTCTCGGCTCTTTGCTACTTGTGCTATTTTTTTTCTCTGCTTGGGGTTTTCCCACCCGTTCATATGTAGTATCTTTGTGTCAGACCATAAGCAAGCCCCAATGGTGTCTGATGTATCAACCCTCATTTCTTGTGTAGGGTTGCTCATTCGAACCGGGCTCAGCTGCTCAGGACATTAATGCCATTATTGGGACATCCGGGAGGAATACTCCTCCCTGGCCTTCCAATCATGGAATTGTTCTTTTTCTTCTTGTATAATCAATAAACTCCCCCTCTGCTTGTATTCCCCTTTTTCCACTTCTCTGTTCCAGCACCCTCATTCTCCCCTGTTCTGCTCCCTGCTCGTTCGATTGAAGCAGTCTTTGTCTCCTGCTCTTGCTATATTTCTAATTTGGTCTTCCCCACTTGTTTGATTGAAGCGGTCTTTGTCTCCTGCTCCTGCTATCTTTTCTAATTTGGTCTTCCCCGCTCGTTTGATTGAAGCGGTCTTTGACTCCTGCTCCTGTTGATATCTCCTCTCTACTGTTGATCTGTTTATGTTCATTACAATCTTGCCCGTTCCAGAGCTGTTGCGAAGTGACGGCTCACAGCACTGATGCTTCCCAGCCACTGGGGGAACAAAAAGAAGCAGCTTGGGAGCATCTAGAGCCTCGAGCACCATCACCTCAGTTGGGGCTTGGTGCGCCTCTCACGCAGTTCCATTTCTCGTCAGCGGCGGGTTGGTTACAGGGTCGTCAACTTCTGGCAAGGGCTCAGAATACCCATGGGATGTGTTGTTTCCCTCTGTGGAACGTCAATGTCCTGGGGATCCTTCAAGAGTTCCTCCAGTGCATTGATGCTGCAGGCAGGTGAAGGGAGGTCTGCGAAAGGATTGTGATAGTAGGTTTGGAACAAGCCACCTTCTCAGCATCACATGATATTCCCATGCTTTGCAGGGAATTCTGAGAAGGGGCTTTTGCCAAGATGCTGAAAAAGGGCAATGTGTTCAAAGTGCTCTCCTGCTTCAGGAGATGCCCGGATGGCTTGCTCCAAGTGGATGGTTTGTACATTAGAAGTGCGAAATTGATTTGGGCTACTCAGAAATCCCAGAGTCTTTGAGTGTCTCAGAAAACACCCCATAACTTAGGCTTGTTCACAAATGAGGAGAAACAAAATTGCTTCCACCAAACTTTCCTCTGGGTGAATATATTGAATCTGACTCAACAGTTTGATTTATTCTGTGTCGTAGATGACAAAACTACTTTTACCTAGCTACATAGGTGATATGAGGATTGTGGGGGTCAAGAACAACGGAGGTGGGTATGTTTGAGTTGAGCTGGTATATCTTTTCTTGACTCTGAAACTTGGTAAGGAACTAATATGGTTCAATATTGTCCCAAAAACATTTACCAGCTACTTTTTTACTCTTCATCTGACCAGTTCGAGTGTATGCAAGGTTCAAGTCACACCTGTCATGCACTGTCACACTCATCACAAAAGAACAAAATTATATTTCCTGCATGAACAAAGCAGTTCTGGAGATAGAAATTGCTTGAGGACCTCCTGTAAATCATTGTGTGAGTCCATTGAGCCCATAAAATCCCTGAATTTCTGTTAAATGTACTTTTGTTTGCTAGGTATGCAAAGTGCACCATGTAATTTTAGTTTGGTTCAATAGGATGACAGGTAGGCATCCAAAAAACAGATCCTGTCTTTACCTTGAATGGATTGGACAGGAAATAGGCGAGCAATTTGTGTTCCAACACATGCTGTGTTTTTGGCAGTTTGTATGAAGCCTCTCTCCGAGAATTATCGGCTCGCAGTGCAGAGATAGACTTGCTCCAAACCTATCGTGATAGTGATTACCACCGCTGTGGTCTCGGGTTAGAAATGGACGTAAAGCCAGTCACCAAAAATGCAAAACTTTACGACACTGGCATGATTCGAACATGCGCCCTACAAGAGGAACAGATTACTTAGTTCGAAGTTAAAAGGAATTCGAATCTGTCGCGTTAACCACTCCGCCACAGTGCCCACCGCAACTGATCGGCAAGGATACCTTGAGACCGTGGATGTGTGGTTTGATTCTTTTCCTCTGCTTTTTCCGCCAGAAACCAGTAAGATTCCGGCGGGGATTTTACTGTGATACGACTCATACGATGTTTTTTTTTTTTTCAGAGACGCGCAAGCGATGGAATTGGATATTTTGGGCCGAGACTCGGGTCTGGAATAGTCGAGTCACGGGGCCGGGGCGGATATTTTTGATGGCGGTAGTGGCAGAGAAATAGTAACTTGGAGAGTGCAATGTCGTCGCCGGTGTCGTCGCTGACGGCGTCGCGGTCGTCGTCGCCCGAGCCGCCAGTGCAGCCCGACCACTTCTACAACGCAGACCCGTTGCATCTGCCGCCGTCGCCCGACTCTGAAGGCAAAGGATATCTGTCGCCCGACGATGACCCCCTGGCCCACCGCGGCATCCCAGTCTTCAAGCCCAGCATGCACGAGTTCGCCGACTTTGAGGGGTACATGAACCGGGTCGAGGCATGGGGCCGGCGGTCGGGGATCGTCAAGGTCGTGCCACCAAAGGAGTGGAAGGACGCGCTGCCGGACGTCAAGCCACAGCTGGCGGGGGTCAAGATCAAGAGCCCTATCGAGCAGTTCATGCGGGGACGGGCTGGGCTGTTCCGGCAGGAGAACATGGAGAAGCGGAAGCTGATGAGCGTACGCGAGTGGGCCGAACTGTGTGCAAAGGACGAGTTCCGCGCACCAGGAAAGGACCAGGTCGGAAAACACAACAACCCCAGCGCACTCCCCGCACTCCGCAGTCGCAAGAAGAAGCCAAAGACAAAGGACGAGGACCAGCAGGAACCCCTTGCAATGGCCTCTCCCCCGAATAGCGCCTCTCCCGACCCCGAGGATACAAAACCCGACGCGAGCAGCAAGGCCCGCAACCGCCGCACAGAGCGCGCAGACAAGGACACGTCGTTCCTCGAAACATTCAGTCCGCATACCGACTGGCTTCCTCCCGGAACTACCGCCGCGGACTATACTCCCGATTTCTGCGCAAAGCTCGAGCGCGCCTTCTGGCGCAACTGCGGCCTCGGAAAACCTGCTTGGTACGGCGCCGACACAATGGGTGCGTGATTGTCTGCACCAATTGTCTTTTTTGCCCTGATTGAATCGCTCAGGTTCCCTCTACACCGACGAGACCACCGCCTGGAACGTCGCCCATCTTCCCTCCACACTTTCGCGTCTTCTGCCCCCATCACAGGGCCTTCCCGGTGTAAACACGCCGTATCTCTACTTTGGCATGTGGCGCGCAACCTTTGCCTGGCACGTCGAAGACATGGACCTCTTTTCCATAAATTATATCCACTTTGGCGCGCCAAAATTCTGGTACGCGGTCCCGCAGGCCCGGGCGGGTGCCTTGGAGGACACCATGCGAGGCGCGTTGCGTTCCATCGTCTCTATTCTCTCGTATTAACTTCGTTTTGTTATTTAGGCTACTTCCCGAAAGACACTTCTCAATGTCCGCAATTCCTGCGGCACAAGTCTTTCCTCGCCTCGCCGACGCTCCTTGCCCAATCCGCCGTGCGTCCGAACCACCTCGTGCAGCATGCGGGCGAGTTCGTCATCACCTACCCGCGCGGCTACCACGCGGGGTTCAACCTCGGCCTCAACTGCGCCGAGAGCGTCAACTTTGCGCTCGACAGTTGGCTCGATGAGGGACGCAAGGCCGCCGTCTGCAAATGCGTCGATTTCAGCGTGCGCATCGACGTCGACCAGCTGCTCGAGGACCGCCGCATCGAGGAGCTCGAAAAGACCGACCCCGCCGCCGCCGCACGGGCGCGTGCTGTCCGCGATGGCGTCGACGAGGAGCAATATATGGACGCCATCCCTGTGGAGCTCCAGCTCACACCACTTCCCGCACCGGTTCAACCCACCAAGCCACGCAGCCCACGCAAACGCAAGCCAACCATGCCGTTCGAGCCCGAGGGCGCCTCACCCAAACGCCCCCGCACCACCTCAGCCCCATCCGCCTCAACCTCCTCCCACCCACATCCTCACACAAGCCACAAGCTCGTCATCCCCGCAGCTTCCTCCTCCTCTTCTCATCACTCTTCCTCCCACGGCGCGGCGCCCCCCGCCCAGCGCCTCACCCTCAAGCTCGGCCCGCGCCCCACCCCCCTCGCCGATGAAACCTTCCCCTGCTGCCTCTGCGTCGACCCCTCCCCCTCCGGCCTCGCGCGCGTGCACGATTTGCCGGCCGCGTGGCGCGAAGTTGCACCCGCCGCCCAAATCCACTTCCCCGCAAGCACGGGCGGCAAGGGGGTGTGGATGGCGCACGAGGCGTGTGCCGTCGTCCTCCCGGAAACGTGGGTGGACGAGATCAACGGCGAGAAACTCGTTTTTGGGGTGGATGGGATCGTGAGGGGAAGGTGGAGTTTGGTGCGTCTTTCCTTCTTCTTTGATTATTTAATATCAAACCCATGCACAGAAATGCTCCGCCTGCACACGCGCCCGCCCCAAAGCGCACGGCGCACTCATCCAGTGCACCAAGGGCAAATGCCCCAAGGCGTTCCACATCAACTGCGCGAAAGCCGGGCATGCAGCTGGCATCGCGTACAGCGTCGTGCGCGAGGTCGAGAAGGAGGTTGTACTGCTCGAACCCGTGCCACACGCCGACCCCGCTGACGGCGAGGCGGAGCCTAACCTGCGTGTGCTCAAGGTTATCAGGAAGAGTGAGGTTGAAGCCCTTTGTCCGCAGCATAATCCTGTGAGTTCCCTCCCCTCTTTCTTCTGTCTCATGATCAATCAAACCACTAACACCTCGCTCGCAGGTAATCGTCGCCGAACGCCGCGCCTCTAAGCAATCCGAGCTCCGCACCGACATCCTCGCCCTCCCCCCGCTCTCGCGCATCAAGGTCCGCGTGAGCTCCGGCGTCTTCGAGGTGACCCTCCTCCGCGTGCTCGAGGACAAGGGCGCCGTCGAGGTGCTCTGGGACGCCGCAGAGGTGCGCGAGGTCAAGTGGGGGAGCATCTTGCTTGGGGTCAGCGCCCAGAGCGTCCCTGCGATGAGCAGCGCTATGGGGAGCGGGATGGGTACAATGGGTAGCGGGGGCGGGGGCGGGCGCCCGAAGGCCATCGCGCCGGCGCCGGCGCAGGCACCCGAAGCGCGTGCGTATTATCAGTACGCTAGTGCTGGTGCGAGTGCGAGTGCTCCCGCGGCGGCTGGTCATGGCCAAGGCGTGCGGGCGCCGAGCATCGTCCTCCCGCCGTGCTTTCCGAACACCACGGCTTCCAGCTCGAGCTCCGCCTCGAATCATCAAACGGGAACGCAAACGCAAACCGTCGCGAACACGACGCCGGGCCAGCAGGCGCAGGCGCAGAACCCGTACGGGGTGTTCAAGTACGAGTACTGGCCGTATCCGTACGGCGCCCAGACCGCCAGCGGCGGCGCGACAGGTTCCGCCTCCGCCAACGCCGCATACAGCGCCGCCTCGGGCGCCCACACTGCTAATGCCACCACCCCGAGCGCCAGCACCAGCGCTGCCACCCGCGCGGTCGGCACCCCCGGCGCGACGCACGTCCCGGGAACGCATTACGCTACTCAGTACTACACGGGCCCGCAACCGTGGTCGTCGCAATACTACCGCCCGGCGCCGGCGTATTACCCGCAGGTGCAGCAGTTCCAGGCGCAGGGGCAAACCACCGCCGCTGCGTCTGCGTCTGCACATAAGCAGCAGCCGACGTTCGCTGTGCAGCCGCAGCCGGCTGCGCCGACTCCCGCCTCCTCTACTTCCTCACCGAATCCGAATCCAATTGCTGCTTCAGCGCCCGCGCAGAATCCTCCCATTGCTGCTGCCGCTGTGACTACTACTCCCGCTCCAAATCCCGCACCCACTCCCAACCCTATCGCCACTCCTACTCCTTCTCCTCAACCCCCAACGCCAACCGCCCCCGCTCCTAACGCAGATGCAATGCACGTTGACGTCGAGCCCCCTGCCGCCGCCGCCGTCGCTGCCCCTGCCGCCTGACGATAGACCCATCCAGATACCACCCACATACCAGACGTTCAGTGTCCGTAGAGCAACGCACGCACGCTTTCTACCCTCGCCTTTTTTCTTCGTTCGCTTATTATGAATTAACGTACCCGATAACTTACATCCATACGTCTTCCGTGTAGTTTTAGAACGTGAATGAACCCCGGCCTTTCTATTTTATCCTCTTGTAACTACGACTCGGTGTAACTTATACCACACAATTGCATTTTTTTTTTTTTCACTGCGAACATGATTCCATTTCCTCTACGCCAAAGGGTATCTATTGTATGTACTACTCCTGCTACTGAAGGAATCCGCTCGACTCGATTACTAGCTACAAACTGTCTAAGATGATTGATTCTGCGCTGCATTCATTCCGATCCAATGTCCAAGCAGAATTTATGACGATTAATCTAAACTAAAACCTCGGAGCGGCCGATGGTGGTGACCTGCGACGAGTCGGCTCAGCTTCTGGCTCGACAGGTAAAAGAAAGACAACGCACCTTGAAGCCGAGCTTGGTGAGGGCCGACGCGTCGACGAGGAGACGCCCGTCAAAGATGAACGCGGGCTTCTTCATGTGCTTGTACACCTCCGCCCAGTCAATCTCCTTGAACTCCTTCCACTCGGTCGCGATCACGACCGCCTCGGCGTCCCTGCACGCCTCGAGCGCAGACTTGCAGATCTTGACCTGCTTCTTGACTGCGGTAGCGATTGAGTTAGTGTAGTGGGGCGAGGGATGGATGGGACGGCGTACTGTTGTCGAGGGGAACGGCGGGGCTGGCTTCGGTGAGATCGGCCCAGATCTGCGACTCGACGACCTGCGGGTCGTAGATGTTGATCAAGGCGCGCTCGGACTGGAAGTCGCGGATGAGCGTGATGGCGGCCGACTCGCGGGTGTCGCCCGTGTCCGCCTTGAACGCGAAGCCAAGGACCGCGATCCGCTGTAAAAAAAGTCAGGGGACCGACGAACGAACATAAGACGACAGACCTTG